AAGAATTGCCCTCTGTTTTTTCTCTACATTAGATGGAGATTAAGGATAAGAGAGGCTGGACAACATCTTCTCACCACCAGCGTGAGGGCAGGTGGGAAGACAGGGCATGAAGACAAACAGAGGCAAGGAAGGGCATGATGGCAACCCTCGCTTAGGCAGGTTTAAGCTGTCACACAGCCACGCTGTCTACATGTCTAGCCCTCTGCTATCTCAGGGAAGTGCCTGTCAATTAACTGAGCCCAGGAAAGCTGCAAAGAGGTGCACACGGATGCACAGAGACAGGGAATTCCAGCAGGTCTGGTCTCCAGCAACCACAAACACCCAAGCACCGTGATCCCTCAACAAGCTCTTCACAAGAGGTGGAGTGGGCCACGTGTGGCTTTTGCTGTAACGTTTGTGGCATCCCATAAAAGCACAGTATGTTTTTGCACACTTTGAAAAGTGTGAAAACCAGTAATGTGTTGCCTTTTATTTTCTTCTTCTCACTTTGGCTTATGTTCTTCAACCACACAGCAACAGTACAGCAAAAGACACAGGCACTGCTCTGCGTGACTAGAAAAATCAGCCTACCTTGTATGATTGCCACTGTTTGGTGCCTTGAAATAATGGCTTGCATGTTGTAAACCCACATAAGGGATGGAGATCTAACTATTAACCCACAGATCAAACCTCAGGAAGAAGGATGAATTCTTGCCATTAGATGGTCCAACCTGGAGAAGTAAATGAGATGGACAAAGGACCACAAAGTAAAACTCAATAAAAGAAAATGAGGGATGAATCATATTAAAAATGCCAGAATACACAAAGCAGGATGAGTGATGCTGACCCATCAGCAGAGCATATTGCATGTCATCCCCACCACAACCCAAGGTGTAGAAAGCCCTCGGTCAAGCAGGTCCTCAAAGCTCTTAATGCCAGGGGGGTTGCAAGGGGCTGCACCAGGCAAGGAGTGCACCCGCTGCATGTGTAACCCCATTCCATCGGTGGGAAATCTCAGAGCAGAGGATGAAACAAGAACATAGCTCAAGTAGAGTCAGACCTCAATCACCACAAGCAAAGTAGAGTCCGCACAGGACTGCACTGAAACGGTTCATCATGTCAGGAGAAAAGCACAATAAAATACTCCAGCCAGCTGCATTGCATCGGAGTCCCAGACAAACAAGCCACATTCAATCAGGGCACAGGGAGTTAAGGGCAAGGAGGAAAGAGAGGACGGTTCAAGGCTCAAACTGGAAAATGAGACCCAGCGGAAAGGCATTGAGCGCGTCCGGACCGCGGGGAGGAGGGACACGCCACTCTCTGCTGATAACAAAGCACTGGGATAAACAGGACAGAGTAAATACTGATTCAGAAAAACCACAAGAGGAGGAGCGTAGGGTGCAGAAGGGACTGTTTGCATCAAATAGCAGGATACACATTGTCGGTATTATCTAGTACTCGAGTGCATTGGCAAGGGGCTGTGAAGTTGCTATTCCAGGCTTGATTTAATGTGTTGTAGGAAAAGGGCTCAGAATAACTAGCAAATTTTGTCATGACAGAGAGGTCAGGAAACAGACAAACCAGTAGGGCTCCTCTCTAACTTAATTAACACTCAGGTACTGTGTTAAAGATGTGAGAGGTAAATAGCCACAAACCCTACAGGAATACCACCAAAGCCCAGACGTGCCCACATGGATGCTCACACCGAGCTCACTGACACAGCAATGCCCAAGCAGTTTTATCCATCATCTGTGCAGCACCAGACATGGAAACACGTGGAAACAAAGCATCCACCCAACCATCGCTCTTCCCTGGTCTTCACCTGATGCTGCAAAGCTTTCAGCAGCTTCAGCAGGTGCTTTCTAACCTATCCCTAGGGTGGGCACCTCATATTGCTATAGGAATTGCAAGGCATCTCCCTTGAGCCCCGCTCCACAGGGACATGGGTGGTCTTAGATCTTCCCGTGGATGTCCCAGAAACTCGACCGGGTCTCAGGCTGCATGTGGTGCCCACGCTCAGGCAACTCAATCCTGCCCCGAGGTGAAACGTATCCAGCTACAGCAACCACACACAGCAGGTTAAGTGCAAGGCATGAGCGTCTCCTCCTGTCCAGCCTGCT